GGGTTTCTGAGGAGCTGCTGGTGAGATTGAACTGCCAACCTTTTGGCTAGCAGTCTAGTGCTCATCCTATAGTAGACTACTGTCTGATATAGTGCCTGAAGATGAGTCCATCAGGTTGGAGGGCACTCAAAATATGACTGAAGAAGAGCTGCCTTCTCCAGTAGAGTTGATCTTAATGACATGGATAGAGTAAAGCTTTCAGGACCTTCATTTGCTGATGGGGCACAACACAATGTGAGAAGAAACAACTGCAAACATCCATTAATATTCAGAATGTTGAATGTATGAAATATGAGTCCAGTCCTGGTGTGGCATGCTGGGTTAATGCTCTGGACTGCAAAGTCAATTGAACAACATGGTCAGTGGTTCAAGCTCACCAGCCACTCCTCAGAAACCCTCTACAGGGTCACTATGGGTCAGAAGTGACTCAAAGGCACTTAACAACAACAACAACAAGAATGAAATGGAACACATAAAGATCGATATCCTAGGCATTAGTGAGTTAAATTGGACTGGTATTGGCCATTTTGAATAGAACAGTCATATGGTTTGCTATTCTGGGAACAACAAAATGAAGAAGACTGGGATCGCATTCATGGTCAAAAAGAGCATTTCAAGATCTGTCCTGAAGTTCAATGCTATCTGAGATAGGGTAAAATCCATATGCCTATAAGTAAGACAAGTTAATAGCATTATTACACTATTGTATAAAGGTACACAACAGTCACTAAAGCCAGAGATGATGAAATCGAAGAATTCTATCGATTTCTTCAGTCTGAAATTGATCAAACATGCTATCAAGATGTACTGATAATTACTGGTGGTTGGAATGTGAGTGTTAGAAACAAAGAGGAAGGATGAGTAGTTGGAAAATATGGTCTTGGTGATACAAATTATGCTGGAGATCTCAGGACAGAATTTTGCATGACCAATGAGTTATTCATTGCAAATACTACTTTTCAACAAAAAACCCGGCAACTATACAAACAACAACAAAAAACAAAACAAAACAAAAAAACACCCAGACCTCACCAGATGGCACACACAGGAATCAAATCAACTATGTTTATGGGAAGAGATGATGGGGAAGCTCAATATCATCAGCTAAATCAAGGCCAGGAGCAGACTGTGGAACAGTCTATCAATTGATCATGTGCAAATTCAGGCTGCAGTTGAAGAAAATTAAAACAACTACACAAAAGCCCAAAATATGACCTTGAATAGATCCCATCTGGATTTAAAGGCCATATCAAGAACAGATTTAATTAGCCACAAATGACCGAAGACTAAAAGAGTTGTGGGATGTCATCAAGAACAACATACAGGAATGAGCAAAAAAGCCATTAGGATGACAGGAAAGTAAGAAAAAGAAAAAGAAAAACCCAAAATGAATGTCAGAAAAGACTCTGAAACTTGCTCCTGAATGTAGAAAACTAAAATGACTGGAAGAAATGAGAAAGTAAAAGAGCCAAACAGGAAACTTCAAAGGAAGACAGAATGGAGTATTACAATGAAAAGTGCAAAGAGAGGCGGCTAAAACCCCCAAAAAGGTTCAGCCCACTCAGCATTTCTCAGGTTGAAAGAATTTAAGAAAAAATCCAGCTTCGTGTTGCAATCTTGAAGGAATCTATGAGTAAAAAACTGAATGATGCAGAAAGCATCAAAAGAAGATGGAAGGAATACACAGTCACTGTATTAATTGAGTGATATTAAATCACTTCAAGAGATAGCATATGATTAAGAACAGATGGTATTGAAGGAAAAAATTCAACCTACACTTAAGGCATTGGTGATAAACAAGGCTCCAGGAATTGATGGGATACAAATTGAAATGTTTCAACAAACTAATGCAGCACTGGAGGCATAGTGGTTACTAGTCGGGCTGCTAACCTCAAGGTCAGAAGTTTGCAACTACCAGTCATTCCACGGGAGAAAGAAGAGGCTTTCTGCTTCTGCAAAGATTTACAGTCTCAGAAACCCCATACAGGGTCACTATGAGCTAGAACTGACTTAAAGGCACATAACCACCACCACCAGCAATATCATTAATGTCACATATAAGTAAACATGCTGAAGATAATTTAAAAATGGTTATAATAGTACATGAGCTTGGAGCTGTCAGATAGTCAAGCAAGATTCAAAAGAGGATGTGGAACAAGGATTATCACTGCTGACATCGGATGGATCTTGACTGAAAGCAAGAAGTACCAGGAAGATGTTTACTTGTGCTTTATTGACAATACAAAAGCATTTGACTGTGTGGATAATGACAAACTATGGATAACCTTAGAAAGAATGAAAATTCCAGAACACTTAATTGTGTTCATGAGGAACCTATGCGTAGACAAAGAGGCAGTTTTTCAAGCAGAACAAGGGGACATTTGAATGGTTTAAAATCCGGAAAGCTGTTCACTAGCTTTCATCCTTTCACCATACTTATTCAGTCTGCATGCTGAGCAAATATCTGAGAAGCTGGGTTTTATGAAGAAAAACGTGGCATCAGGATTGGAGGAAGACTCATTAACATCCTGCAATATACAGATGATACAACCTAGCTTGCTGTATGCAAAGCGGACTGATGATGATCAAAGACTACATCCAGCAGTAGGGGTTGCACCTCAATATAAAGAAAACAAAAATCTTCACAATTAGACAAATAACATCATAATCAATTGAGAAAAGATTGAAATTGTCAAATACTTTATTTTACTAGAATCTACAATCAACACTATGGGAGCAACAGTCAAGAAATCAAATGAGTATTGTATTAGGCAAATCTGCTGCACAAGACCTCTCTTCAGTGTTCAAGGGAAAGAGATCAGTTTGGGTACTAACATGTGCCTGACCCAATCTATGGTATTTTCAATAGTCTCTTTAAATGTATGCTGAGCTAATAATCTGAGAAACTGGAATATATGTAGAAAAATGTGGCATCAGGATAGGAGGAAGATTCATTAACAGTGGTGTGAGGTATGCAGAAGATACAACCTTACTTGCTGAAAGCAAAGACTGCTTAAAATATTTACTGAAGAAGATCAAAGATCAGTCTTCAGTATGGCTTGCATCTCAACGTAAAACAAAAATCCTCACCACTGGAACAATAAACATCATCCATCTAAGTGGAAACAATATTGAAATTGTCAAAGACTTCATTTTGCTAGGATCAGCCATCAACAACTCACAGAAGCAGGAGTCAAGAAACCAAACAGTGCATTGTGGTAGGAAAATCTGCTGCACAAGATGACTTTAAAGTATTCGAGAGTAAAGGTGTCAGTCTGAGGCCAAGGTGTGCCTGACCCAAGCCATCGTATTTTCAATAGCCTCATATGCATGTGAAAATTGGACAGTGAATAAGGAAGACTGTAAAATTGATGCATTTGAGTTATCGTGGAGGAGAATATTAAAAGTGCCATGGGCTGCCAAAAGAACAAACCGATCTGTGTTGGAGAAATACAGCCAGAACGCTCCCTGGAAATCAGGATGGCCAGACTTCATCTCTCATACTTTGGACATATTGTCACGAGGGACCAGTCCCTGGAGAAGGAGATCCTGTTTGGTAAGGTGGAGGGTTGGAGAAAAAGAGGAAGACTCCCAAGGAGATGGATTGGCACAGTGGCAGCTGCGATGGGTTCAAATGTAGCAATGATTTTGAGGTTGGCGCAGGCCTGGGAAGTCTTTCGTTCTGTTGTGCTGGAGTCCGTACTGACTTAAGGACACCTAACAACAACAACAACTTATGTACATACATATACTGTTGCTGTTGCTGTTAGGTGCCGTTGAGTCTGTTCTGACTCATAGCGACCCTATATATGGATCCCAGTGAGCAACCAGTGAGCTTGTACCACCTACTTGCAGTTCAAAATTACCTTGCAGTCCAGGTATACAGGGTCATACCTATGTATATATAAAATCTGTGATGTTGTTGTTGTTAAGAGCTGTTGAGTTGTTTTTGACTCATGGTGGTGGTTGGTGGTTATGTGCTATGGAGTGGTTCTGAGTCACAGAGACCCTGTGTAGGGTTTCTGAGGCTATAAATCTTTACAGAAGCAGAAAGCCTCATCTTTTTCCCTTGGAGAGTCTAGTGAGCTCAAACCACTGACTTTGTGGTTTGCAACTCAGTTGTTTATTCTCTAGACCCACTGTATTCCCAAATCTGTGAGACACATATGAATATAGAATAATTTGGTAATTGAAAAGAGACAAAAATAAACCACTCAGATTTTAGCCAAAAAAATCTCGTTTTACAATGTTTTACATAACTTAAAAAGCAAAAAGCAACAAGTGCTAATAGAAATATGACATTAACATTTTCCATAAAAACAATGTTTTACATTTGACTTTAATGAGTAGTGACTGGGGTCGTCAAATCTAAAGAGCTAAAAAGCTAAGTTGCTTCTATTGTGCTCTCCCTGTCCAGAGGAACGAAGAGTCGTGAAAATCAAAGACATTGGACTAATTGTTTCCATGTCTTTGATTTTCAGAAGAACTAGATAGTGCCCGACTACCACTGTCCACTGCTCTGAAAGGGATCATATTAGAAGGTCCTGGATAGAATGGGAATACAATGTGGAACAAAACTCCAAACTGTAACAAAGGCCAGGCTTACTGACAGGCTGGATACAGACTGGTGACACCTCTGAGAGGAAGTCTCTTAGTCACCTTTCAGGTCTGGAAATGAACTCACTCCCATGCTCAATTTGTAACCAAACAATAGACAAATCTACAAGGGGAACAAGAACACTAGGGTAGTAGGCACACCTGAGAACAATCAACCATTTGAGATCAAAAGGGCAGCATTTAACCAAGGACAAAGTTCAAAAGGGAATGGAAACAGGAAACACAGGGAGGATATTAATTACATTGCAGGGATTACAATCAAGGAAATAAAACATGCATGAATTGTTGAATGGAAAATGTACCTGCTCTGTAAACCTTCACCCAATTCAAAAATAAAAAGTTCAAAACAAACTCAAAACTAGATAACATAAATTGTGACTCACATTTCCCGTCTTCATTCCTGCAGAGAACTTTTGTATCGTCTGTGCTTTGTATGACTTCAAGAGACTCGCCAGGCTTCACTTGTAGATCTCTGGTCCCCCACTTTTTAGAAGTGAAGGAGGCAGCAACTTTGGTTGAATATAGGACTCTGATTTCACCATCATACTGGAAAAAGACGAACATTCAAAGGACTAGTTGATGTATATTATGGAAAGTATTCATTTACTGACAAATGAATTAAAAAGTTATTTGCTAAATAAATAGCCCATTGTTTTCAATAGATAACGTAAGAAAAAAGTTTTAAACTTTAGGGGGAGGGGAGTCATTCATAACTTTACCAGCCTAATCTAAGAATTATTTTTAGATTAGCTTTGAATCAAGGCTGAAAGGACAGCTATTTTCAGATGACTGTTAGTACGCTGTGTGTATTGGCATTAGACATGTCTACTTACTTTTCTATAAAAACTTAAATCTAGGATAAACTTTGTAGAAAATGAAGAAATTATGATGGAAATGATACATTGTGATATTGACAAGTACATTTATAAATGTATATGTTGGTATTTAAAAATGATCAGATGAACCAATTATTAGTGTTTTGAATTTTTTATCATATTTAAATCTGACATACTTTAAATTTTTTCCTGAAGTCCTTTTCATCCTTTTCTTGCCTTTTCAGCTTCTTAGGGTCTTTTTCTTCTGTCTTGGCCTTTCCAATATTTATTCCTTGGCTAAGATTGTAGAACACACATAAAGCAATTAACACTTTACTTCAAAATCATAAAAAAATACTATCTATTAGACTTAATTCATACCAATTTTTTTTTTAATTATTTAAAATTTTTTTTCTTAGAAATCCAATATCATTCAGTGGAACAAATGATATTCCAAAACATAAAAGAGATTCTTCAGAAGAACACAGCACAAATTAAAATGGAAGTAAGAAATCATTACAGTGAACCATATAAAAATCCCTGGTTTGTAGCTTAAGCATGGCGTCTGTATCACGGTTTCATATGCATTAATCTATCCTTAAGATCCTAGAGTCCTGGTGTGACACTGTGGGTTAATGTGCTGGACTGTAAAGCTGGTTTGAACCACAAAGTTGGTGGTTCAAGCTTACCAGCTGCTTCTCGGAAACCCCATACAGGGTTGCCATGACTTTGAACCGACTCAGCAGCACGTAACAACAACATCCTTAAAGTACCTATCTTTTTCAAATTCTTTATAGATAATTAAGTGACCTGCCCAATGTCTTTATAAAAAAGAAAAAAATTTAAAAACCTGATTTTTATGGTTTATAAAGTTTATTTTGTTGTTGTTGTTAAGTGTTGTTGAGTCAGTTCTGACCCATAGTGACCCTGTTTAGGGTTTCTGAGGAGCAGGTGGTAAGCTTGAACCTTCAACCTTGTAGTTCAAGTGGCTTTGCAGTCTGGTGCATTAACCCACAGTTCCACATAGATGTCTTTATATGTTCAAGTGCAAAGATGTCAGTTTGAGGACTAAGGTGCACCTGACTGAAGCCATGGTATTTTCAATAACCTCATATGCATGTGAAAGTTGGACAGTGTATAAGGAACACCATAGAAGAATTGATGCATTTAGAAGAATTGATGCATTTGAGTTATGGTGTTGGAGGAGACTACTGAAAGTACCATGGGCTGCCAAAAAAAAAAACAAACCGGGGTTGAAAGAAAACCAAAAAGCCCCTTAAAAGCCAGGATGTCCAGACTTTGTCTTATACTTCAGACCTATTATCAGGAGCGTCAGTGAGGAACAGGAAGAACCCCTTTGATTTGAATTAGCACAGCATCAGCAGCAATGGGCTCAAGTGTAGCAATGATTGTGAGGTTGGCAAGGACTGAGAAGTGTTTCATTTTGTTGTACATCAGGTCGCTATGAGTTGATAGTGAATCGTTGGTACCTAACAACAAAGAATATGATAATTTTCCATATGTACTTAAAATGGAATGAGATTGTTGTTGTTAGGTGCCATTGAGTTGGTACTGACTGATAGTGACCTTATTCACAGCAGAACGAAACACTGCTCGATCCTGGGCCAACCTCACTACTCTTGCCACACTTGAGTCCATCGATGCTGCCATTAGGAGGCAGGAAACATGGATTAATAAAAATATTTGAGTTAAAAGTTGATTTTTTAGAGGTAAGAAGGACCATCTTAGAAGATGGCTAATATACAATCTTTATCACTTTATCAATTGTTCATTTTATGTGAGAGAAAGAGATATGCATTGTAAATATTTGGATCAATTATTGGATTTAATATTAATAACACAAACAAAATACCCAGGCTTGGAAATCTACTGTATCTCATAAATACCAACTCTTTTAAGTGAAGTGGACAAACCTTGGACAGTAATTCTTCATTCTGTGGCTCCACATAGAATCCCCAGGGAAGATTCTAGAGCATACTAAAGCCTTTGACCAATTCCTAGAAATTCTAATTCAATTAGTCTGATTGAGTCCCAGGTACTGACACAGACAAGGAGGTTTCAAAAAGTTTGTGGAAAAATGGAACTGAAAAGTCATGGAATTTTTCCATGAATGCTGTAAAAGCTCCACAGGTGATGCTAGTTTGCCCGAGAGTTGAGACCCATTTGCTACGGTGAGTTAGGGGAGGTCCATGACTCTCTGCAGAAGGGAATTTAAAAAATCAGATTTATAAATACTATAAAATTAAAACAAAAAACTGATGCTATTTTTTATTTAGATGATCTATGATAAAGTTTTATTTATAATGGTTGTGTTAGAATGTCTGATGCTTAGTTTTTGAATCTTGGGATTTAGTTAAGTTTCCTAGGAAATGAATAGCACACCATCCTGCTTTAGGCTCTGTATCTACTGTCAGTGTCTCTTGCCTTATAGAGCTCTGGCCATATGTGGAATAGCTGGCCCAGATTAACTCTCTGGGGCTATTCAGAAAATATATGAACATTAAAAACACCCACAGACTAGCTTTGAAAATTATTTATTGAAATTTATTTAGAACTAGAACTCTACATTAGCACAAAATTGTTTTTAACTCTGAAATAAGCAACACGTAAGAAAGCAGAGGAGTCCCTGGGTGGTATAACTGAAAGGTTGGTGGTTTGAGTCCAGCTCTGGTAGCGTAGTGGTTACAAATTGGGCTGTGAACCTCAAGGTCAGCAGTTTGAAACTGCCAGATACTCCGTGGAAGAAAGATGAGGCTTTCTGCTCCCGTAAAGATTTACAGCCTTGTAAACCCTGTTCAGGGCCACTATGGGTCGGAACCAACTCAACAGCACTTAACAACAACAACAACAATAAGGTACCTTGGAAGAATGACCTGGAAATCTACTTTTGAAAAATCAGTCATTGAAAACCCTGTGGCGTGCAGTTCTGACACACATGTGGTCACTCCCAGTTGGAGACAACTCAGCAATTGATTTTTAATTTTAAGAGAGGAACAAATGCCAAATAAAGTTTAATCAGCTGAGATTTATTTGGGGTAAAGAAAATGGCCAATGTGTGGTTCTTGGAGATCATTTTATAGACTGTGGTGACATTTCTACAGTTATACAAAACAGAGAAATGCAACAAAAACTATCAGAGACAGAATTTTAGGAAATTATTTCCTGATTGTTAGGAATATTAAAACTTGGATACACTACTGAAGAACATGAGATTTTCTTTTCATAGAGAACTGAAAAAGGAAAATATTTATTATCTTTTCATCTGTTGTATTTGTTTTATCTGTAGAACTAGGTCTTCATATATGAATGGAAGCTATATGCCATTGGGATACTTTGATCTTGATACTGTCTTTAGTTCTGTAAGATTAGTTTTAGTATGATGGTAAGAACTGAAATCCTTGCAGTACACTTAGTTTTATCTGAACATTCCAGAAGAAAGCACTTACTGTGCTCCAATTAGGTAACTTTTATCTTTTATATAATCAAGTACGTATCTCTTTATTCATCTTACTTTTTTTCTTGAAAAAGCTTAAGGTGTTTCTGTCTTTATACAAAGTATATATCAGATCATTTCTCAAAGTTATTGGATTATAAGGAAGTATCCTATAATGCTGTTTTCTATGTCAAAAGAATTTTCTAAAGGTACTTCTTTTGCATCAACTTACTAACAGATTTTCATACAACTTTAACCTAAAATTAAATAGAAACCTTAGGTGCAGTAAAGAATGTCACTATTCACTGTGGACTGGGTTTTACACATTTGACTGGAAACTTTGAGAATCTGATGCTTTTATGAGAAATAGACATACTAAAATTTTCTCTCTAAAAAAAAAAAGTTACTTTTTTTCCATAAAAGAAAACAATCATTTTGTTGAAGATAAAAGACACTTGAGTACGTAGGTGAGAGGTGAGGGGTGAGATACCATCTAAGAAGTATATACAAGCCAAAAAAAGGTTTTGGAAACAGAGTGAAAATAAAGAGAGATGAATCATTAGGAGATAGTGTTTTCTGAGTGACAAAATGAATAAATGAATTCTGGTATCACAGGGCAGAGAATGATTTGGAAACATGGAGCAGGACCAGGGTGTGGTGGGTGAGAGAGGGATGAAAGAAGATAGAGAAGGGAGCAAAGGAGAGAGAGAGAGAGAAGACTCAGGAGGTAAGATCAGGACTATTCACTGAAGACTCAGTAAAACTGTTAGAGCTGTGAATCAGAAGGAAACACATCTTCAGAGAGGAGAACAGAATGTATTCGATGATACACAGTAGACACTCACCCAGTCTGGTATCTCTTCCATTGACATTTCTTGTGCAGTCCCATTTGTGTTACTTCATTTAAAGGAACATATTTTAATTACCTTGTCTCTGCTGATGGAGCAGGGTAATCAGTGGAATCTACATCATCATAAACTTCATCTCCCATATCTAACAAAAGACAAAATAGCAAATGTGGAAGCAAATTAGTCTGGGCTTTGATATGAACATTTAATAGTATTTTTCATATGAAGATAGTTTTAAGAATAACCAGAATTTTCCTGGTGTCTGGGTACATTTCTTCTAGAACCATTACCGATTCCTTAAAAAAAATAAAGGTTTTCTTAACTCCCTGGATGTATATGCTAAATTTTCTTAAAAAGAAAGAAAAAAGCCATCATGATTATAACTATGATTGTCTGAAAACCAAAGCAGAGCAAACAGTGCCTGTGATTACCTGAAGATCCCTAACTGGGATGAATGGCCAGAGAAGCAGATTGCTGACAACCAAGAGCAGTAGAGATTGAAATCAAGATTCTTATGGGATTTAGAGTGGTGTGACACTGTATTTACAGTGCTGTCTACGTAGCTGTCAATTTATCTATCTACTCATCCATCCACCTAATCTCTCTATATAATTCTATTCTAGTCACTGATCTATTCTTCATTAATTTGATCTTACAGTAGTACTGTTGTTATTGTCAAGTACCACTGAGTTGGTTCTGACTCATAGAGACCCAAGGAGTGACTGGTGAGTTTGAACTGCCAACCTTGAGGTTTAGATGACTTGGTGGTCCTGTGCTTATCCTACAGCACCACACCAGAAGTCCTACAGTAGTATTAAGAGTGACATAACCTTCAAATATAATCGGGCTGCGAACCTTAAGGTCAGCGGTTCGAAACTACCAGCCGCTCCGGGGGAGAAAGATGAAGCTTTCTACTCCCGTAAAGATTTACACCCTCGGAAACCCTGTACAGGGTCGCTATGGGTCGGAACCGACTCGACGGCACTTAACAACAACAACAACATAAAGATTATATCTATTAATGAGACACTTCAGATAGCACCAGAAATTGAAAATGATTATTGGAAAAGTTACTGTGATCTTAATCAGCTTAATGGCTTTTTCCCCAATCTGTAGATCATTTTCTTTCCAGTTGTTGTTGTCAAATGCCATCTAGTCAGTTTCAACTCATAGTAACTGTGTATAGGGTTTCTGAGGAGTGATTTGTGGATTTGAATAACCAACCTTGTGGTTAGCAGGCCAGTGCTTATCCTACAACACCACACCAGGTCTCCTTATTAATTAAGTCAGAAGGAATACATCTTCTCTGAGCCTATAATTTGCTCTATAGCCAAATATGCTGAAGAGTGAATTGAAGAAAGTATAAATGTTTTAGGACAAGCATTGGACTGCTAACCACAAAGTCAAATCCATCAGCTGCTGCTCCTTGGAAACCCTATACAGGGCTGCTGTGAGTCGGAACGGACTCAATGGCACTTAATAATAACCGGAGGAGAATACAGAGAGAAAGTTTTAAAAGGAAATCAGTTCTTTGCTACCACCAGAGAACATTGAAATTGGGTACATTTCAACCCTTACATCATTCATTAAAACATTTATATTGTTGGTGTTAAGTGCCATCAAGTGGGTTCCTTGTGGTTCGCAGTCCAGTGCTGATCCTATAGCAAGTAAGGATGAAAACTCACCCCCTGCCATTGATTAGATCTGACTCCCAGTGACCCTGCAAAAGGTTTCCAAGGCTGTAAATCTTCACAGGAGCAGAAAGACTCATCTTTCTTCTGCAGAGAGATTGGTGGGTTTGAACTGCTTACCTTGTGGTCAGCAGTCCAGTGCTTATCCAACAGTGCCTTTAGGGCTCCTAGATTAATGTTGTTGTTGTTAAGTGCCGTTGAGTCAGGACCAACTCATAGTGACCTTGTATAGTGCTTCCAAGGAGCAGCTGGTGAGCTTGAACCACTGACCTGTCCAGCGTATTAACCCACAGTGCCACACCAATTCCCAGAATAAAACATACACATCTATATGATGAATCCATTATCATGGTGCAATTGATCACTTTTATGGTCTTTTTTGTAACTACCCCCCAGATTATGCCAATTAAATTACTTATGGTCCACTGAGGGAATTGGTCAGTTTGTTATGTAAATTGAGTGATTTGTGGTCTACCCAGGGGATTGGTCGTTTATGGCCCTGCTAGACACCATGACTTAAAACTGACAAGAAGTAGGCTTACATAAAGGATCCCTGGTAGTATAGTGAGTTGGACTGCTAACTGCAACAAGGTCTGTACTTCAAATCTATCTGTTGCTCTGCAAGAGAAAGATGAAGCTTTCTACTCCTGTAGATTTACAGCCTTGGAAATCCTATACAGGGTTGGAACTGACTCCACGGCACACCACCAAAACAACAACCAGGTTTATATAAGGGCCAATTGCACAGAGGTTCAGGAGGACCTCACTACTATCAAACAGAGTCAGGAGTGAAGTGTGTCCTTTAGACCAAGGACCTAGAGTCCCTGGCGGAGAACTTCCTAGACCCAGAAGACAAAACGAATGCTGAAGATAGCACAAAATGGCGCATATGGAGAGAAGCAGGGGGTTGTGGTGGGTTTGCCAGGCCCTGGAGCCAAAGCTGAGTGCCTTTAGGCAGGAGGCTTGATAGCAAAGCTAAAAGAGTTGTAGCACTTGCAGGAATGTGCAGGGCAGAGGTCAAAGTAGGGGTCGCCTGAAGCATTTTATGTTTTCCTACACAGGGTGAAGCCAGATGCCTTTGGGTAGGAGACTTGCTACTGAGCTAAAGGAGACATAACATTGGCTTGTGCTGAGCAAGAGCAGCCTGCATGTTCCTGGTGCAGGACCAGATAGCAGGGCAGCCAGAGGGGGAAATTTTGAAGAGTCTGTTGGCAGAGGATCCTGGGCAGAGATCTCACCAGTGAGGCGAGGCCCAGTGGCAGAGCAGAAGCCCAGGGGTTGTGCAGACCATCTGGGCAGTGTGGTGGTAGCTGCAGGCAGCAGGGATGGGGACACAGCATCTGATCAGAACCACAGGGTCATGGCCAGTGAGTGATGTAAGAATGGCCTTGGGCAACTCTTCTTTCGAGACTTGGTTAGAATTGTTTACTGTTTGCTTTCTATAATTAATAATAATGGTTTTCACTTTGCAGTACTGCATAGGCATCTGCGCAGGTATCTGCTTGATCACACGAAATGAGCACAGCACCCTAGAATGGCTGATGACCTATGTGCCTTAATTCTAGCAGCCTTAGGGTTGCTGGAGACTTGAGACACAGCTTGTCTGCATGTGCAAGGCGGACAGACAAATATGTACACACAATAATCAATTCTTATTACTGGTGTTTGCTATTATTTCATGTACATGCACTTAAAATATATTTGAGATCAAAACTAAATTAAACAAAAACATTAAAAAATTTAACTATTATATTTGTTCTATTTTATATCAACTCTTTTTGGAACTAAATTTCTTAAGCATCTTTTTAAATATTGTTGTTGTTATTAAGTGCCCTTGAGTCAGTTCAGACTCATAGTGACCCTGTATAGAATTTCTAAGGAGTGGCTGGTGACTGAACTTGTGAATCAAACTCACCTTTTGATCTAGGATATAAGTACAGTATCATATAATGATCAACTTCCCTCAGTCTCTTGCATATATTCAAAGTTGTTCAATGTGGTCGAGTCAGTCCCGACACAGAGTGACCTTGTATAGACTTTCTGAGGAGCGGCTGGTGAGTTTGAACTGCCAACTTTGCAGCTGAAACCAACCTTGTGGTCTAGTGCTTATTCTACAGCACCACACCAGGATTCCATTTCCCCCCTCTTTTTCTAAGTAATAACTGGAAATAAGATTCTAATGTCAGGTTAACATTCTAGAAGAATAGATTATTTCTGGGTTTGTTTTGCTACTTTAACATATTTCTAAATTAAAACAAACTTTTGAAAGTTTCTAAATCTTTTGAGTCTGATTTTACTTTGCTAAAAAAAAATCTTCTAAAGATATGTCTCAGCTGACAAAAACTGTACAAATAATAAATTGTGTTGGGTTTTGAAGTGGAATGTTTATCAATGGGAGATTATACATTTAAAATATTTAAAATTTAGATTCACAGGGGAACTGGGAGCCTACTCTATGATGTGTTGGTAGCATACAGCGTAGTATGTTTTCAGAAATCTTTCCATAGGAGTCTAATATAATTAAAAGGCAAATGTTGACTAGACCAACATAGGAAATGCTCTGACAGAAGAAGGGTGGGCAGACCTGGTGGAGAAGGTGTTCAATCCTAACTTGTCACTGTCTCCAGAGTGGCCCCCAGAACTCCTTGGAAGAACAGTTTAAAAATCATCATTTATTCAAAAAGTGTTTTGATCATTTTATTGTGGTTTGGATGAAAATTTCCAGAGCGAATTCATTTTCCATTCAACAAATGACTCATATTTGTTTCTGTAGCATTAGTTGCAATTCCCGCCACGTGCCAGCATTCTACCCACTTCCTCGCTGGGCTCTCTAGTTCCCTTCTTCCTTATTTTCTGCCCCTTCCAACCTTCTGAACTTTGTTTTTAAGCAAATGCTGCCTTATGGTCGGCTGTTGTTGTTTTTAGCTTTTGATTATGAATTGGATGAAGGTTTACAGATCAGTTTTCCAGTGAACCATTCATACACATTTGTTTCACCTCATTGACAGCAATCCTCACAACGTAATATTATTTATCTCTCTTCCTCCCTGTGCTTCCTGCTTTCACTCTTCCTTCTTTCCTAACCTCTCTGAACAATGTCCTGGGGGAAATGCTGCCCTTAGATCTCAAATGGTTGGTTGACTATTGTCCCATGCACATGACTTCCTAGTGTTACTGTTCACTTTATGGATCTGCTTATTTTTTAGCTGAAAGTTGAGTAACAGGGACAAGTTCATTTCCAGACCTGAAAGGTGATTAAAGATCACAGTCTCGGGTTTCTAACATTCTCTATATCCAACCAATAAGCTTAGTCTTTAAAAAAAAAAAATTTCACTTTTATGATTTTGAGAAAAGCTCCTTTTTATTTCCCTTTCCCCTCTCTTTTATTGTTGAGAACTGTGGCTTGTGAAGGGATTTACCCAAGTTTATATAATTCATTATTTTCAGTATCAGAGCTATAATCCAGACATTATAACTAAACCTAAAACTTCTCCACCCCTTAATATACCAAGAAATAAAGCATAAAATACACAGTTAGTTTTTACTACTTACCTAATTGTTCAGGGGGAGCCGGAAAACTGAAAAGAAATTGAGAATACAGTTATGATCACACTAATATGAACACAGACATTCAGTGCTTTATTTAGAAGCTATATGAGCAGGTGAGATGGCCTGGAGGCATACGAAGGTTAATCTGGTGACCATCATTCCTTTCTCATTCTCCATGTCTCCATCAAGTCTCCATCTCTGTCTATCAATTTAGAATTTAGCAAGGCATTTAAAAAATTTTAAATTCCCATATTGGCCAAGAAAGTCGAGAGTGAAGACATTTGGTTTGTTTAATTTGCCAATAGCCATTGGATAAATATTTTCAGATTTATTCTATGAGTTTTGGGCATATTATTGTACTAACATAAATTAAATAGACCCAATATTTTGAAGCCATTGTGGTATAGCACTGGCCCAAAACTGTTTATTGAAATCAAAGACCAGATATGCAGTGCCAAAATTAACTACGGCCATAGGAATATTTATATGACTAAGTTTCCTTCAGGAGCCCTGGTAGCATAGTGGGTTATGAGCTGGGCTAACTGTAAGGTCAGCAGTTTGAATCTACCAGCTGCTCCACAGAAGAAAGATGAGGCTTTCTGCTCCTGTAAAGACTGACCACCTTGGAAACCCTACATGGGGTTGCAATATGTCGGAAACGACTCCATGGCACACAACCACCACCACCAAGTTTCTTTTATATGGGTCCAGATACAGGAGAATGATGACTAAGAGAGGAATGTCTATTTACACTAGAGAGTGAGAGATTATTAAAGGAAGTGATATGAAATCAGAAAAGGGTGGCATTTAGTTGCAACAGAAAAAAGATCTTTGCTTTCATTCCTTTCTGAGCTACTGCTTGTAAACACACACACACACACATCTCCAGAAGAATGGTGCACAGGACAGGAATGGCTAGTTAAATTACAGTGTGACAGATCATATATTAAAATTATCCCAAATCAGAATTGGACAATATGTAACTGAAGCAGTAAAAACAACTTCTGGTTTTATTTCTGATGAAGTAAGGGTGATATTTCAGTAATGCTACATAAAGCAAATGTTTCATGCTATGTTTTCTTATGATTTTAAGTGTACTGCATATGAGTGTTGTTTAGATATGTTACAAAGGGTTTAAAATTAGGAATGGTAATGTGGAGCTAATATTTTATAAAGACCTGATAAATATGGTAAATCTATTGTTGCTGTGTGCTGTTGAGTTGGTTCAGACTCACAGAAACCCCTATAGGTTTTCCAAGAGTGGCTGATGGGTTTGAACTGCTAACCTTGCAGTTAGTGAGGTTGGCAGTCGCTGCTTATCGAATAGTGCCACACTACTAGGCACATATAAAACAGTAAGAATGTCCAGTACTAAGGACCTGGAAGTTAGTACAATAAAGGGTTTTTTGGGGGAATAAAAGAAAATGTATGCTTTAGCTTTTATTTAGACAGACAAGTTATTTTAAATAATTTTAGATTAGCAGAAATAAATAACTCAAATAGAAGGAATATGATTGTGAAACTAAGTTAAAATATGAATAATATAAATCAATTTCTGTCAAAAAAATACTTGAAAGAGAATGTGTAATATGAAGAATAATCAATATAAAATAAAACGTGTCATTAAAATTATGAGCTCTTAGATGCAATGTTATAATTCTGAAGAAAAGGTCTACTAAATGGAGTGTTAGTGAATGGCTCTGGCTGAGTGCATTAGAGAGTGAGGGCATGTGTGTTTCCATATAGCTACGTGTTTGTGTGCATATTTATGGGGAAAGCAAAATATATTTTTGAACTATATTATAATTTTTTAATACTTTGGGCTCTTGTCACCTAAATGCATGACTGTAAGGATGGTATTATGAATGAGGATAAGATGCTTACTAGAGAATAATTTTAAATGTTTTAAACCTAACAGAATGTGTTACTGGTTATAAAATATTAGTAGCATTTGATTAAGTGAATATTAGTGTAGTTATTGTGCACTGCTTTGGTTGGCTGGCTCTTACGGTGAACCTTCATTATTGTCTGAATCAGAGACTTTTGATTTCTCTCGTATACTTTTCTTTTTGTCATCTTTTCCCTTTAACATCTTCAAAATCCCCCAGGACCACGAGTTACTCTTCTCCTCTTCAACCTGTAGCATGGAGCTTTGGAGCATGCAGGCATTGATCAGAACGCAATAATCAGTGGAATGAAAACATTGGGGTAGATGGTTCAGACTTTTTCTAATTAAACTGAACTGGTCATTCAGGAGGCAAACAGCTAATTCATTGTATCTAACAAGATGGTGCTGGTAAGCTTAGAAGTCATGCTGCTTGAATACAGGGTTGGCTAATTTTTCTATTTAGTGAAATTTCTTTTAGTTCTTAAAATATGAAGCTAAATAAGCAAGGGGCAAATTTTAAACATCAATTTTGCTTTGTTTTATAATTAAAAGTAAGCAATCAATTGATCTTAAATTTTCAAATATGTCATTGCAAAAGCTATCATCTAAAGAATTTAAGACTGGTTCTGCCACAGGTAGTATAAGATCTCAGTTTATTTGGGTGTCTTATAATCATGAAAATTATACAAAGGAGAGCTATACAATGAATACATTCTCTGAAGATTTTAAGACAAAGATTAATTGATAAATGATTGGGAAGAGTTTGAAAATGTATCTACAACATATGTAATTCTTTATCCCTTTTTAAAATTTCACTTCTTTTAACAGAGCTGTTGAGATTCTTTCAGACAATATACCACTTCATTTGAATTGCGGTGTAACTATACTTCCTGGTTTACTATTGCTGTTAGTTAAACATTCAAAACATTTCTGGAAATGTGATATGGAACACGATGTTCTGCTTTTTATCCTAAGTTTCAGTATATGCAAAAAGGTCATGGACTGATTATACTTACCCACTATCAGCTTCGTCATCTTCAATTCCATCATAAATCTCATCATCTGGTGGGGCTGGGAACATCCCTTATTTGGATTATAGGGAGAAATTTTTTTGTTAATTTTATGATTTAGTCAAGCAACCCAAATTGGATAATAAGCATCTCTTCTTTAACTATGGAAAGTATCTCTCTTTTATATTAAAAAATGAAAGCAATTTTATTTTCCTATCCTCTCATAGAGAGGAGATAATGAACTGCTCTGTTGATTCGTTTATAGATAATTCTGAAACTATAATAAATGAGAAGTAATAAGAAGGACTGTGAACTTGAGGTGCTGATCAAGATACAGGTGAGGAAGAGCAATTAGCATGAGAAGTAAATCTGAAGGCTAAACACTGAGGGCAGCTGGAACAAAGGAAAATGAAAGGGGAGCTATTAAATCCATAGTCTTAAAGAGAAACTCTTTTTAAAATCTGTTTGGTTTGTTATCCTGCGCTCCTGAGGTTCCACACTATTTGACATGCACGTATTTAATGAATGTTTATTGAGAACCTTCTATGTATGTGTAGGAAACCTGAAATTTGACTCAGCATGAGAATTTTGGTACAGCAAAATACTATTTCAGTTCCTATATTTGGTGAGAAAACTTGGTCCCTTTCAGGAGTCACAGCCAAGGTTATTATCCATACAAGAATACTTTTGAAAATGAATGGGCATGCTACTAATAATTGTGTTCAATCAGCTCACTAGGATGGTCTGAGGCATACGGAAGTGAGGCAACCCTATGACTCGACCTTTTGCACTTTTACCCTATGACTTTTGAGAAGAAAGAAGTAACTTTGACTCTGGCCTCGAAAGAAAGAAGCCATTCAGAAGCTGGGAAGAAAATCCAGGTCAGTGGCTCTTAACCCAGTGCTCTTTTCCAGAACATAAGGATCCCAATCATTATTTGTAAATGAATGCAATCTGTCATCATTGTTGTTGTTAAGTGCCTTTGAGTCTGTCTAGGGTTTCCGAGGAGTGGCTGGTAGGATTGAACTGCCAACCTTGCAGTTCAGATCAATCTTGTCATCCACTGCATTATCCTACAGCATCACACCAGGACTAAATTAGTATACATAACATTGTGGGTGAGTTGTGCAAAAATTTCTGATAAAAAAATGTGACTTACCTCCACTTCCACTCTGACTATGGCTAGGAAAAGGAAAAAAAAAAAAAAAAAAAAAAGAACATATGAGATATTAAGCTAGAAGTACAAACCGAGTAGTTATAAAAAGAAATTCCGGGTCCACTCCCAAGACCTGACTCCTAGGAGCTGTGTTTGGGACTGGACCTCTGTTTTTCTAGTATAATGTTTTCAAAACTGACAGAGTTAAGAAAGCAAAACTTATCAAGGAAGGAAAATTGGATTGAACATTTACTATCTCACATTGTCTGGCAGGAATGACTATATACATTTTTGCTTAAATAAACGGATTAACCATTTTAAAAGACAGAGAGATAAGATTGCAGTTGAAAGCTATCAAAATGTTATGTGTTGAAGCAGAAAGTATGTTCTTTATCATAGTTGATCAGTGAATTGTACATATGAAGAACATTGATATGACCTGTGATTTTTTTATATATGTATTTAATACAATAATTAAAAAAAAGAAACCCTAAAAAACAAAAACCCAACAACCAAAACCAAATATATATATAAAAAAAGAAAATCAAAAGGTACACATATGAGGGGGCACCAAAAAATTCCTGGAAAAAGAATGCAAAGATAATAGATTTTGATCACTTTTTAAAGTCTCCTTGTATAAAAATAAGTTGAGATAAAGAAAAACATAATGGTAGAGTAGTCAGTGAAATCGAGGGAGACCCCAATGAGATGGATTGGCAAAGTGGCAGCAACGATGAGCTCAAGTGTAAGAGCAATTGTGAGGACCGTGCAGGATGGGCAGTGTTGTGTTCTGTCGTGCATGGGGTAACTGAGTCACATCTAACTCAGCGGCACCTAACAACAACATGAAAGTTTACTGTAGGAAGGCCAGATTCCAGGTTTCTCAGTGCAAGACCTGAATGATGAATTAACCAGGTGGACAGTGGTTGGAAGAGCATTTCAGGGAGAGGAAACAGAGAAGACAAATGTTGGTGTGAGAGAAGATGACACCAAGAAGGGGAGAAATGGGATATGAAGCTAGAGAAGTAGCTAAGAACTATCATCCATAGCCTACTGGTTTGTAATACAGAATTTGATGTTGATTCCCATTGTAATGGCAAACTACAGAAAGAAGGAGAGGGATGTGCTCACTTTAGATCAGGGGTGGGGAATCTTTTTTCTGCCAAAATTTATAACATCATTCGTGGGCCATACAAAAGTATCAATTTAAAAATTAGCCTGCTTTATTTGGTCAAATATTTAATTAATTCACCCCTAAAGTGATGGCCGGAACTGCGGTTGTCTTGACAGGACCAGACCAAATGATTCTGATATATGGCGCATGGGCCCGACGGTCCCCAGCCCAGCTTTACATTAATATTTCTCAAAGCATGTTCTAGGACACTATTTTGTAAAGAAAAGTTTTTAGGCTAATTGTTTAGATTGTATAAATCTGATTAGATTAAAAAATGTCAATATAGAAAATGGAGGGCATTAATTTTACCTTTTGAAGTACAAAGTGGAATTATAGTACAAATCGTTCTTTCACTGTTGTCTTTTCAAGTGAGAACAACAAATACCTTACGACCATAGATTAAGAGCAAAGTTTATGATACTTTGTGCTTAATATTTTGCCACATATTTAATTTAGGCATATCCCTAAGATCAAATCATATCAGAATGAATATTAAAAAAAAACACGGATTTGGAATGGCATTTGGTGAGCTCTGACAAAACACCCATTTCAAGTAGCTCTTGCCACATATAACTGAAGAGTCAAATAAAAGACAGTAGAGTTTTAAGTAATCTCGAACCCATACTGGGGAATTGTAAATGGCAATTTTGTTTTGGAATAGAGAGCAATAGGAAATACGGCAGGTAAACTTCTAGAGTCTTAAAATACATACTCTCTGATAGTTGAATCGGTTTTATGATGGGTATCTACTTGTACCTGCTAATATCATCCTGTTCTGCAACGTCATCATATACTTCTTGGTCATCATCAGCAGGTTTTGATGGGTGAGCACAGAGGGATGGTTTTGTCCTTTTCAAAGAATCATAGTCAATCTGGACCACAGTTGTTTTAATATAGCCATCTACAAAAAAGGAACCATTTCTGTTAAAGCAATTGTCAGAGAGCACTCAACAGCCACTGGTGTTCAATATAGTTAAGGTCTTGTACACTTGTGAATAAAATATGTTTTGCACATTTGCTCTTTAAAATTTCCCTTCATTTACTTGTAAGCTAGATTCACTGACCTCCCATGAAGACATATGTTTTACTGTACCATGTCCAAGTCCTGGCTTGCTGTGGCTTGGTCTTTATTACCAAGACTCTAAAGTGATTCACATGAATTTCTTTTCTTCTTCTTCTTTGTTTAAACATCATTGAGAGTGTCTAATGCCTTCTTCTGCCTTTTTTTGGGAAAAATATAGAAATATGCATGGTTCCCACTAAAAATATAACCCAGATGAGGTCAAGATGGACTACAGTTGTCATATTAAACCTTCCTGGCTTTATCCACCTATAACCTGTTCCTCCACCAGTCATCTGATAGTTGTTGTACAGTGGTGGCTTGTGA